CCGAGCTAAATCCCCAGCCCCCCTACTTACTTCTTTAAAGAGATTTAAATCAGCTTTGAATGCACAATGAAATATACGAAACTTCTTTTTTTGTACCGGGGATCAAACTCATGACCACGTGCTTGCAAGGCAGGCACTTATGCTGCTGAGCTAAATCTCCAGCCCTAAGAGTATTTTTAAAAGTATATTCTAAGTATATTTTTAAAAGTATATTCTAAGTATATTCTATTTTAAAAGTATATCCTATTTAAAAAAGGAATTTTTAAATTTTTAAAAGTATATTCTTAGCCAAAAACCGTGAGGTCAAATGTCACCTTTCAATAAGTTCACAAGTGGACAGAGGCAAACTAATAAAAAGAGCACCTAGATCCTGTCCACTGCTGAGTGCTATGAAATATGGCACAACCTCTTGGGAAAACCAGACAAGACAGAGAAAAATTGTATGTCATCTACCCTGTCTCAGCAATTCCATTTCAGGGGGGAAAAAATCCACAAGACACGATGGAAAATGCACAGGACTATTAATTGCAACATTATTTGTAAAAATCACAAATGAAGTGATCTAAATATCCAGCAGCAGAGTACTTAAGAGTGTACACACACACTAAAATACTATTCAACTATGAAAAGGATAAAGGTCATCTACATATAGCAATATAGAATAATCTCCAGAATATATGAAGTAAAAAAGTTTTTAAAAATGTTCCTACTAAATCTACTGGACACAAGGTAGGTAGAAATCTTGGAGATACAGGGATAGGCAGAGAATTCATGAACAAAACGAAAACTGCATGGGAAACACCTCAAAGAATCAACAACTAAGATCACATTATTGCAAAATTTCTGCCCTTCAAAAGAAATCACCAACAAAGTGAAAAGAAAACCCAAAGACTGGGAAAGAATTTTAGCCAGCAACCCCTCAGACAAAGGGCTTACATCCAGAACATATAAAGAACTGAAAAACATCAAGCTCCCCAAATTCAAAGACCCTCTCCAAAAATGGGCATCTGACATGAACACACAGTTCTCAATTGAAGATATACAAATGGCAAATAAATACATGAAGAAATGTTCACCATCACTGATCAATTGAGAAATGCAAATTAAAACAGCATTGTGATTTCATCCCACTCCGGAAAGAATAGCTGCCACCAAGAAATCAACTGATAACAAATGTTGGCAAAGCTGGGTGAAAAAAGAACACTGCTCCACTGTTGGTGGGAGTATAGACTGTGCAGCCACTGTGGAAATCAGTGTGGGGATTCCTCAGAAGACTAGGATTGGAAGTTTCATTTAATCCAGCTCTTGCCCTCCTGGGTGTTTTCCCAGAAAAATTGAAAAGTTGTATCACAGTGATGTATTTGTACCCATGTTCATAGCAGCACAATTTGTGTGATAGCTAAATCCTGGAAACAACCAAAATGCCCATCAACTGCAGAGTGGATGAAAAAGATGTGGTGTTTTTATACAATGGAATATTACTCAGCTATAAAAAGGATGATCTTGAGGCCTTCGTAGGTAAATGGAGGCATCTTGAGACTATCCTCATAAGTGAAATAATCATATTTATAAATATGATTGTGTCTCTAGTGTAAAAAGTAATTAGAACTGTAGCAGTAATAAAGCCCAAAATGTGTAATTGCTACTATAAAAAAGGAGGAAAAGCAAGTACTCTAAAGGATATAATTGCATGTATGTTTAAGTGTCTAAGATAGATACCATATTACTGTTTTTGTTGGATCATTGAGCAGACCTGTTTACAGTCTGTTTGAATGTCCACTTGTATGCTTTAATTTTGTAACTTGAACAACTATTTCTAAGAGGACAATAGGTAATTCATCAACTAGTGATTTCTTAGTGTTTATTTTTTTTTAAATTCTGTATTATTTCCTTTTTTCTGTTTTGCTTTTTTTTCCTCTTTAAATAAAATTTTAAAAAAGGAAAAAGTGCAAACTCATAAAAAAAAACAATGTTCTTGTAGGGCTGGGGATGTAGTCCTACATCAGTGACATAAGTACCTGCCTGGCAAATGTGAGGTTGTGAGTTTGATACCCAGTACCAAAAAAAAAAAATGTTCTTGTGGTAGGCTATATTTTTTGTAAGGAAATAGGGAAAGTGGTATCTTTATTTTTTAAATGAATATATCTCATAAAAAGGATTTTTTTGTAGAAGAAGAAACAGAGTAGAAAAGAAAGAAATAAGACAAAATTCCCATGAATGTATCTATCTTATAGTTTTTACTCATTAACTAAATATTTTATAAAATTAAAAAATTAAATCAATTAAAAATACATTCTTGAAAACTGATACCTGAATTAAAATAACTAATGGGCTGTGATGTGGTGGTGTGTTTGCCTACCATGTAGATTTGATCACCAGCACTGCAAAATAGTAATAATAACCTAACTGTTCATTACTGATCTCATTTGATTCTAAAGCTTATATTCAGTCCTTGTAAAATATAAACTAAAGGCCAAAAAAAGAATCACAAACAAGCTTAACCACATTCATGGATCTTATTATTTATAGCTGTATCAGTATTGTTTTAAAACTCTGAAAAAGTATGTTGTAAGATAACACAAATACAGAATTGTATTTATGTTGATAGAACAAAAATGTCACACCGGGCAATAATATATTAGAATCAAGTTGAGCATGGTGGCCTATGCCTGTAATCCTAGCATTTGGAAGGCTGAGGCAATAAGATCACGGTGAGTTTGAGGCCAGGCTAGGCTACATAAGCAAGTTCAAGGCTGGCCTGAAGGACATAGTGAGAGCCTGTTGCAGAGAAAAAAAAAAAGCAATTGAATATTTACACAAAATCCCCTTTTCTTCTAAAATTAAAAAGATCTTTATTTTTTATTTTTTATTTTTTTTGAGACAAGGTCTCTCTATGTAATTCAGGCTGGCCTTGAGCTTACTATGTAGTCCAGGCTGGCCTGGAATCCACTGCGATCCTCCTGCCTCAGTCTCTGAGTGCTGGGATTATAGGGATGTGTCACCATGCCTGGCTAAAAAGCAGGTATTTCTTGATTCTGTCTGCTTAAATCTTGACTCAAAGCAACCAATGGTAACAAGAACTTTTTTTTTTAAAGAAAATTAGGAAAGCTTCAATGTATACTGGGTAGTATTACAAAAGTCCTAAAATTTCAAGTGTGGCTTGTACTTTGTTTGTCGTTTTGAAACAGGGTCTTCTCATGTAGCACAGGTTAGCCTCAAACTTAGGATCTGCGTGTCTCAACCTCCCAAGTGGTAGAATTTCAGGCATGTGCCATCATGTCTTGCTCTAATTTTTTTATAAGAGTAAATTTTTTAAGTGACTTTACCAGTTAGTTACATCCTCAATTATTTCCTGGCCATATCATATGACGTCTGGGATTCTTTAAAATAGCCAGCAAAAAACATTTTAAACAATGTGGCTAATAGTTGAAGCTGGGTGACATGTACATGAAGGTCCCAATTCTATTAAAAAGAAAGAAACGAAAGGGCTTGAAGACATACCAAGCCTCGCTTGAGCTTTTTTAGCACTAGCTCATCATAGCACACAGCTTGCTCTAGAGGTCCCGCTTGGCACTAGCAAGACTTCTTGCATTCCACTGAGCTTATCGCAGACTCCCGGGGCCATCCAGTCCACTGTCTCTGCCCCATGACTGCCCCAAACAAGAGAATTGGGCCGTCATCTTATGAAGACCCAAGAAGCACAGATGAAGCTCTGTCTAAACAGCATGTTCTGTTCTCCTTCCTGGGTGGGGGCAGCAAGAGGGGAATCAAACTGAGGACCTTGTGCTTGCCAAACGGGCACTGTGCCCTTGAGTTATACCCCCAGCCCAGGAAAGCAGTGCTGAAATGGCTTTTTCCATTTCAAGTGGGATGGTAGGCTGTGGCTTATACTAACCCCTTTCCACCCTTCCTCCTATTTGGCACTTACTGAGCTCTCAATAACTGTCAGCTGACTCATCGACAGTAACTTCGGGGTAATGTACAAGATGTCTATGCCTTGGAATAAAAATAACTTTAATACGCATTCCTTTCAAAATGCATGCTTATATGCTTTGTAACATCTGCCGTTCACATTAAATACTTGAGGATATATGTAAATTCCAGTTTCAACACCATGACTTAGCTGCTCTCATCAGGAGTGCAGGTGAGCGGCCGGGAGACGTAGCTCAGCAGCACTGCACCAGCCTGGCAAGCCCAAGACCCTGGGTTTGATTCCCAGTCCCAAAGAAAACGAATGCAGTTGAGGGCTGGACATGGTGGGGCATACCTGTAATCCTAGCTTTCAGGAGGCTGATGCAGGAGGATCCCTTCAAGGCTAGCCCAGGCTCTAAAGTGAGTTCAAAGCAAGCCTGAACTACATAGGAAAACCTTTATCAAAAAGATAGAAAAGAAAAAAAAAAAAAAAAAAAAAGGAATACAGCGGAGGGATAGTAGCTGGGATTCTCATCAGGAAATCATACTCAGAGAACCACAAATACTTCTATTACTGGTAATCTGATCTATAGCTGACGTTTTGTTAATAAGCATATTTAAATGCCAGGACTATCTATGTACGGGGAAGTGGCTCACAGAACAGGCAATATCAGAAATTTGCTCTGACTAGTGAAATTACATTAGATCCACTCAGGCGGGTAATTTACAACTTCCTGAAAGAATGTGCCTGAGTCTCATTACTCATTTTTATTCTTTTCTTTAGGATGGTGGGTTCTTTAATACTAACCATAAAAGTAAGGGAATCTTTTAAGAGATTGCTCTGTCTGCCAGTGGTAAATCTTCCTTATAAGGATGGTTGGAGAATCTGAAAGGACATAAAGTTAGGACTGCACTGAGGTTGCTAACTAAGCTCTTGTGCCTGTTTTGCTTAGTAACTGTCTAGATGTGAAAACTGGTAACGCCAAAGTCAAGGAGCAGGCTACCCACACCCAACACTGAGGCTGTGTTTCCCAGAAAGAAGTTAAGGGTGGAAAATGACAAACTTCGCATAAAACAATTGTCACATGTTACACGTTTAAAATTTTTAATTGCATTTTAAACATTTCACATTAAATGAAATTCAACCATAACCATTACAGAGCATTACCGCAATAATATACACAAAAACTCAAAATAAAAGACAAAAGAATACAATTTTCAATAGGTTAAAATGCCATTTTACTGTGTAAACAAAAGTAAAACAAAACCCTGATGCTAAAAAGGTACATATTCAGAGGTAAAAGATAGATACAAAAACTTTAAACATCAACATTATTCACAACTAGATCACATTCTCTGCAAGAGTACAAATATTAGTACTCTACATCTACAAAATTTCAGAATCCTGTTAAAACCATCTCTGGATTATTATACAGCACAATTCATAAGGCAAAAATATAGGCATTATCATCCAGTTCTTTAATTTCACTTGTATTTTAAGGCAAACTTGGAACTTTTTGCTTAGTCTTTTAAAATAAATGGGACCTTACACATGATAACTTGACAAAATTAACAATAAATTATCTCTATGTATAATATAAAAGACATGGATAACAAATTTTCTCTCTGCAGAGATGTAAACTGGATTTTCATTTAACTCCATATTCACACTAGTCAGAAAATTTGTAAACCTATAATATTGAAAACATGTATTTATTGTATTTCTCAGTCTTTTCCAATGTGTATCAACACTGAATGAATATACAGTAATATATTTCCAGCCACAGAATTGTTATCTAATTAAATCCTGTCTAAAGTGCTGTTTACAAAGGGGAAAAGGTTAAGAAGTAGAACTGGATGTTAACTTGACATGTGACGTAACTTCTTAACTTTCGGACTGTAGAGGTTACAGAGGTTTTCACCAGTTTATTGTAGATCTGATTTTCCTGAAAATAAGCACTTAGGTGGCAATACTAGGAATCCAACACCAAAACCAAAAATAAACAGGCATGATACATGAAGGTTTCCCTCACAGGCTGGACAGGCTGGACACTCCAGGATATGGCTTCTTTTCTCTCTACACTTTTTTCTTCTAGAAAATACACTATCCAATTCTAGAAGTGGTGGAGTCCCAGAAACATTAGGTTTTTCATAATTTTCAAGCCATTAAAACTTATTGGAATACTAAGTAATTGTTTAGACGTAAACTAGGTTTCTACTCATAGAAACTAGGTTTTTATGATGTTGGAAAGCAGGAATTAGATTCATACTTTACTATAGTTGTTACAGTGGTACAAAACTCTTTCACTGTATTTTACTCTTTTGAGTCGAGTGTATTTCTAGCCCCTACCACACCTAACGCAGACTCTCATACATGTAGTTGACCCTCCATATGCATCAAACTATCAAAATACACTTTCAAAACCTAATGCCATCTGCCTATCCCTTGATACCACTTCCTGTCATTGAATATTCATTCATAATACTCATATTAAAAACAGCATTTAACAATAACAAATGGAACTTATAAATATTCTTCAGGTTATATGAAAAAATCAGTTAGGGAAATGTTAAATAGCTGAACATTCCTAACAAATTATGTCTTTATAACAATTATAGGAGACAATTATCCTGCAATGTATTTAATTTCCATTTCTCTTGGCATTATTTTCCAACATATTCCTGGGCAATTTTAAATAACATTCCTATCCTTGACTAAATATGTACAATCTTTTCTAATACCATGAAACTTCAGGGTTTGTAACATTGAGAACCTTTTAAGAATCACGTGGCTTTAAATTCATAATTTATCAGCAAAATACTCCAAATAAAACTCTCACAAAGTTTTCAGAGAAGGATTTACAGTAAACTTACCAGTTGTCAGGTGATATCGACAGATGTCACTGTTACGAAAATTACAACAGCAATCCTATGAGAAAATATTTCTAAATTTAAAATTTTTTCCCTTTTACGTTCACAGATGTTCGTAATTGGTTCATTGGTACATAGCTCCTATTATCGATATTTCACATTTAATCTTTATCAAGATGAACGTTAACGTTTTCAAAAGAGATCAATATACACTCTTGAATTTGCCAACTGATTATGTTTTATACTAATTTGGTACTGGAAAAAACATGAGTGTAACATAAATGTGTTTACAATTAAAATAATTTTCTATAGTTTTTCAAATTCCTACCTTTTGGGAGAAGAGGATCAAAAGTAGTATAAAAAGATGTATTTAATTCATGTTACGGTTTATATGTAGATGCCTCCCACCCCGAGCCTACTGTGCTCATAGGTAGGGCTTTGGGGAGATGACTGACCATAAGGGCTTAATACTATGAGGCCACTAATGACTTAATAGCTAAATGTGAAGCTGGACAGGGAAGCCTAGCTGGAGGCGGTGGGTGTCTGGGGGCGTGGCCTTGAAGGACCTAGCTCCCTCTTCCTCCCTTGATCTCTCTTCAGCTTCCCACTCCGTATCAGGAGTTCTCTCCTCCTCTTGCCATGCAACCCTGTCTTGGAGCCAGCGGGATAGAGGGGTAGACAGAAACCTCTACAGACTGTGAGTCCAAATAAACTTTTCCTCCCTTAACTTGCCCGGTGCTGGGTATTTTGCCACCACAATAACAAAAGTGACTAAGGTAAGTTGACATAAAGAAACTGAGTTGGGGATTTAAACCTAAGTGCTGTACATGGTGGAATCTATTTTAAATTGCTTTTCTTTAGGGTTTAGGCCAACCACAATAGTGCACCTTATTTCTATTCAACAGATTTATTCAAATCGATGAAAAAGTTATTGCTATATATCTTTATGTTATTCAAACAAGCAACATAGAAAATATTCAGCTGACTATTAGTAGTTCCTGTTGAGTTCTAAGTTAGAAGAGACTAAAAATCACTTGCAAGGTTTTATAATCTGTGCAAATATTCATAAAACATATTACTTTTATGATTAAAGATGATTTTACCTAGTTTTGTAGCATACACTCAACTCTACAACTGGTACTTTATGGAAGAGCAAGGAAAACTGTAAATTGCCTGGTTATAGTTTTTAAAAAATAACATATAACTGAACCTATGTTTTATAATTACAAATGGCTTCTTAACGAGTTTTGAATATTATGGCACTTAAGAATGCAGTATGAAGTTTTCTTAGGAAAAATATGCACTGGTCTTGCAGAGGCATATAAAGCAACAATGGGAAGGGAAAAACAAATGAAAACAAAATGACTACAGTACCAAAACCACAAACATAAATACTAGTATCATAATAAAATGCAAGCTAATGTATTCAAGACTAAGAGACATCTACTAACACATGCTAAACTAAGTTAATCATTTTTTTTAAATAAGCTATCACTGGCTAGCAATTTTATTTTAAAAGATTGCTTCTTTAATCAAAGCAGAATCGAATTTTGAATCATTACTCAAACATTGAATTCTAGTTTTCCTCAATAACTTTAAAATATTCAGTTACCTAAGAAATATACAAAGTAATGCATAACTGTTTAGTGTCTTATATTTAATGCATGTTTATTTTTAAGGAGGACATGTAATATCTAGCAGAAAAAGAAAGTAAAAATATATCTTTCTTTAAACCACTATTCAGGGACTATAAAAAGCATATATAGGCCATTTAGATGATTTTTGAGTGTTAATGTTGGTGTACTCACTGTTATAAGCACAAATGACTCAAGCCAGTAAAAATCAAAGGGATTACCAAAATATATCATGCATTTCTTAAAACATCCAAAAGAACATTGGTTATAATCTTGTTATAGATTCTACAGTTAGCACCATTTTTATATCTGAATACTGAAAAAAAGCAAAGATCTTAAAACTAAAAGTATTATGAGAATGTATGAAAAAATTAATATGCACTAAAATATTAAACACTTCACATATTTACATCAACCCTGGGAAGCCTGCTGTACTACTAAGAAAAAACTGAAATGCTTGCTATGATTAACTCCTATCCATTCTCATCATAGCAAAGATGAGTAATTAAATCTGTCCAGCATTAACCTGCCCATGTGTATAAAAGGAATAAACAGTAAATAGCTGACTTCTTAAAATAGGGCCCCAAATATGATCATAAAAGCAACTGTCTTGCAAACCTATTGTATCACCAGTCCTAAAACCATTTAGCAGAAACAGTACATAGGTGACTCACTAGGGCACATTATTTACAATCTTTAAAAGTACCAAAAGTAAAAGCAGCCCTTTGTTTTAAGAAATGTAAAGCATATGAATTTATATGTGACAAGCAGTATAAGCAATCCATCCATTCATTTAATATAGTTCTAAAGCCTCTTTCATCCTATTAAATCATAATACATACATGTCAATGAAGGAGAGCTAAACTTAAAAGAAAAAAAAAGCAGTGAAGTTTTCTCCACATATACATTTAAGAAGTATCCCAGTCTAGCCCAGCCTTGAGGGGAAAAGTGCACAATTCAATCAGCAAGGTCTTTTTCTGTTTTTATTATGGGTTTAATCAAGAGCAACCAAAACTAGTTGTCTGTTCAAAGAACCCCGCAAACTTTGAGTCTTCATGCCACTTGAAGTTACAAAGAAGCAATGCAGCTTTTAGAAAACTGGGCATCCTTAGTGTGGCACAAGTTTCACCACCATGCTATTGCCAAGAACTCACACTTGTCAAAGTGCAGTCAGTCCGAAATTGCAGCGGCAGTAGATCATGCCTGCTGAATCCAACCAAGTGTCTGAGATAGGGTCGTATTTCTGCACTGTGTTCAGATAGGAAGACCCGGAGTGACCACCAACCACGTACAGGTAGTTATCAATCACTGCAGCACCAACTCCTAAGAAGGGTGGGTACAAAGAAACACGTTGAATCGTGAAGTAGGTGTCTTTCTCACTAAAAACCAATGAGTCTTTATTTTAATATTTTCTTAAAATACATTTCAACACTTATAATTCTACAAGCAATATAGCAATAAATATTTACTGAAAAAAGGATTTTTAATGTAAAAATAAGTCAGTCTTCCTCTCCCTCTCAATCCTCTTCAATCCTACTTTTCCTCTCCCTTTACTTCAGGGAAGGTTTTTTTTTGTTTTTTTGGGGTTTTTTTTTGGTACTGGGAATAGAACTCATGACTGCCTACTTGCAAGGCAGGCGCCTATGCAGCTGAGCTAAATCACCAGCCCCAGGAAAGTATTATTTTTAAAAAATAAATTTTGGGGGGTTGGAGATTTAGCTCAGTGGCATAACCATCTGCCTGGCAAGCACTAAGTCATGAGTTCAATCCCTAGTACCAAAATAAATAAATAAATACAATAAAAAGTAAATTTTTATTTTTTATTGATGAATAGTAAGTGTACATAGTCATGGATTCAGTGTGACCTTTCAATCCATATATACAAAGCACAATGACCAGATGGGAAAGTATTAAGAATATAGTATATTTCTAGCCAGGGATGGGAAGCACATGGCTACAGTCCTATCTTAACAGACTGAAGCAGGAGGATAGCTACAACAGGCAGGAAGATAGCTAAGTTCAAGGCCAGCCTGGGTAGATAGTGAATTTATGGCAGCCTGACTAAACAACAAGACCCTGTCTCAAAAAACAAAAACAAAAAAACCCCAGTGTATTTCTATGTTTTATAAACAAATTATATTTATACACATATTTCTGGAAACCATTTTATCATGTTTTCAAATATACTGCTACGTAGTTTATGCTTTGCAAATATCCTTTAGATATTACCACATATAGTTCTTTTGCCCTTTTAATTTTCTTTGAATATTTATGTTTCAAGAGTTCCGTACATCATAAATATAAAGTATACTCCCTGGACATTTTACCTCTAAACTATATCCCAGAAAGCATTTCCATCAGTAACTTAAAACTCGACCTATAAAATGTGACTTAAGTTTGGATTTGAAAATAACAATTTCTTTTTAAGCTCAACAATATAGCTGCTTTTTCTCTAGCCACCTTGAAATACCACCCTTTTTGGATCACCGATACCCGCTTGGATAGAGAACATGTAGAAGTGAAGATATGGATTATTGATGTACAAAATAAAGCAGAAAAATCTACGAGAGAGGGAATGAGAAACACAAAATGGCATCTGTTATAATGCACAAAAAGAGCTTATACAAGCTTTACTCTATTAGCAGCATTTCCCAAAATGTGGTCTCCAAATTTGAGAAATGATAATATGCAGACCAATACATTAAAAGCACAGTAAGGAATCTATACAGTCATATGTAGCTAGTTGTCTTTCAAGTTTACCACAAAAAAGTTTTTTCTGGACAAGTTATATCCTTGCTGCTATATTCCAATTACTGTACCATTTCAAGAGCATCACTATAGAAAACACTACATTTCATGTTTAGAAATTAGTAAATTATTATTACCTATTCTGGGTTCTTTCATTGGTCTACACACAGTCCACTGATTTTGGTGAGGGTCGTATCTTTCAATGCTTGACAAATGGGAGACACCATTATGTCCACCCACAACAAAAATAAAGCCTAACATAACACCCACACCAAAGTGAATCCTTTTTTCTGCCATGGACGCAACCATCTCCCAGGAGTCCTTACTTGGATCATAACGCTCCACACTGTAAATATTCACATGAAAAAGAATTAGTTCACAAGTGCTAATTGTGTCATTCTTCCTGCCAAAGCAAAATAAAAACCCAGCATGAAAAAGTTCAAATAAAGAGATATAAAATAGTCATCAGTTCCCAAATGGTTAGATTACATTGATGAGACTACACAGATAAAGCTTACCTTGTAGACTCAGTGAAATGATAACCATAAGCTATTCTTTTATAAGCTTTTCCTTGGTATCCACTGCATTGATTCCAGGACTTAGTAGATGCTCAAGCTCCTTATATAAAATCGTAGTGTTTATACAGAACCACTTACATACTTTAAACCACCTCTGGATTACTTATACTTAACACAATGTAAATGATGGATAAATGTTACACCATATTGTTAGGGGAATAAGGATATACGCTCAATATATGTGTAATTATTTTTTTAAGTATTTTTGATTTGACGTTGGTTAAACCTGCAGGTACTGATCTAACAGATACAGAGAGCTGACTGCACTATACAATCAACATGATATATGAAGGCTACAGGGCTTGAAAAGTCAGAAGACCTGGTTTAAATACCAATCTACATACTAGCACTGGACTAGCCCTGCCACTTTGGATCTGTGAAATCCTAAGTCAGTCATTTCTTCATCTGCAAAAATGGAACTAGCACAACCCCAAAAGAGTCATGTTAGAATAAAGCCAAACAAGTAATGCAGGCACAAGTACTGTGGAAGCTATACAACTGGACAAAGTTTTTTGTTTTGTTTTGTTTTTAAAGAATGCTAAGGATAAACAGTTAAGAAAAAGGGAACAGAAAGAACATTTTTTTTTCCCTGCAAGAGAATCTATGTGGTTTAATCCAAAGTAAACACTGCAGATTCATAACTCAAACTAGTTATTCATAATAATCCTGGAATGGCTGAGGAAAACTCAGGGATTTAAGTCAAGTATGCAGAAAACCTGTAATGTTTCCAAATTTATTCAGAATTGCCAAAAAGCCCTTTAAGCCTATAGTTCCTTCTGAAGGACCAGAAAGGCATAATAAAGGTAAGCTTGTTGAGCTTCTAGTTCCAACCTAACTTCTTGAAAAAAGATTCCACATTTAAGAGCTATATCATCATTATGGACATCATGAAACAATGTCTCTGAAAAGACACCTGGCTAAAACTATTAGACCAAAGTCACTGGGCAAGAAGAGTTAATAGGCTGCAGTAAGACTTAAATTTAATGTTATCTCAAAATTAAGATTCTTAATCCTTCATATTAGAAATTTTGCCAAAAGCTTTTCAAAGAATAGAAATGCATGTTTAAGCCCCAAATCCCTTTCCTTCAACTGCAGGGTTAAAAAGTAGGGAAAAGTTTAACATAAACAGAAATATTTAGAGCTGAGATGCTGCTGTACTATCACTTTCTCAATATTCTTAAACCACACCTCTTCATTGAAAGGGGCATGATCAATAAAACGTATGTCATTTCAATTACTATTAGAGCTAAAATCTTTAGAACATTTCAACAAATGTTCAGGATTATAATATTTCATATAAATTACTATATATTTTTATTTTCTCATCTATATTTCTCCTTATTCAAAGAATATAGTATAGAATACTGACGTCTTCAGTTGAGATTTTAATATGCCCCAGACACATGATGATACATGTACGAAAATCCACAAAGCAGCTGGGGACGTATCTCAGTGGTAGAACACCTTGCCTAGAATGCCTGGGTTCAAGCTCCAGCAATGCAGGGGGAAAAAAAATCCAGGATGGCTATTATTTACGACTTTATATTATGAGATTATACTGGCGTACAGGAGTTACACGTTCACTTTATGAAGTAATGCAATGAAGGATAGTATACATGCACATGCATACCCCACATAAAACCTAACACAGTCTAAATTTGCTTTTTAGGTTTCTGAGTTTCAGATGTAGTCTGCACATACTGAATAACTAAATGCAAACTTCAGTCAAAAGAGAAGTTTGAATCTTAGGTTTGTGTTAATTTCCCATGTAAACACATTTATTTATGGAACAGGTTAAACATCTCAAATGGCTATCAATACTACTTAAAAATGTCAAAAAAAAAAGGAAGTTTATTTACACACACATTGTTTAAAACACAGAAGTCATTGTTAATATGTTTCTTTAAAAAAAAAAAAAAAGCTACAAACACAAGCAATTTGATTATGACGTTAAATACCTGTTCATGTGTGCAGGGCCGTACCCTCCAATGGCGTATATCATTCCATCCAATACGGCTGCAGCGAAACAACTTCTGGTTGTAGTCATTGGTGCCACAGGTTGCCATTTTCTTATTTTGGGAATATATTTCTCTACCGATTGTAAGTAAGACTGCCCATCATATCCACCTAAAGCATAAAGTTCTCCTGCAAGCACTACTACTCCCAGGGTACTTCGGCTCTCATTCATTCTCTCCAGAGAAGTCCAGGTATTTGTATCAGGGTTCCAGCACTCTACCGAGTTCTCATGTTTTCTGAGAGTGACAGTGGGACGCACATCAGTTTCAATACCTCCTACGACATACACTTTTTGGTCTAAAACACATATTCCAAATTCATAACGTGGAATGTTTAGGGGTGCCAAACCAATCCAAGAGTCATTCTGAGGAAAGTACATCTCCACGCTAAAGAACAAGCAGAAAAAAATGACATTTTAAAGCAAAAGACAAAATGCCCATAAACAAAAACACGTTTAACCCTGTAATTGAGAACACGCAAATTAAAGCCACGTTAATTATGACATATCTCCCAGATTGGAAAAAAAGTCACATGAATGTGGAGCAAAGAAATGCACATTCTACTGGTGAGAGAATAGCTGGTGTACCACTCTGAAAAACAAATTTACATTATCTAGTGAAGTTGAAGATATGCCCTCACTCAGCAGTTTCATCCTGTATGTCTAACAAATGTCTAGCACAGAAAGTTTTACATTAGGAAACACACAGAAATGTTCGCTGAAGCACAACACAGTAATTCATCAAAAGAATGGTTTAATAAGGTAGGGGTAGGGTTTTTCTGTCCCATGACTAATTCCATTCTTAAATATGTACCCACAAGAAATGTATATATCTGTATATGTATGAGAATGTTCACAGCAGTATTATTTGTAATATCCAAAAGTGTTCCTTAGCCATAAAGTGGAGTAAATCATACAGAGAATACTGTCAGGATTGAAAATGAACAGAGCCCCCGGGGGGAATCTCATGTAGAAAACATGGAGGGACAGATGCCTAACTCAAAATAATATTTTGTATAATTTAATTTATATCAAGTTCAAAAACATGAAAAACTAATCTCTGGATGACTGCTGCAGGTAATGATTATCTTTGATGGCAGAACATGGAGAGGATCAAGAGTGGATGCGGGGCGCTGGGCGCTGGGAAAAAGACTCAAGGCAAACTCCTTTTAATTGTAAACCCTCAAAAAAAAAAAAACCAGATACAGCCTATCTCCAAAAGGAATAAATAAACTGAAATTCAGCGGTGAAGACATCAAACCCTAAAGTTCTAAACCGAGCTATCTTATGCACACTGCAGCGAGAGGTAGAATCCCAAGACCTCTGGCAGCCTCACCCCTATGCCTGTGCTACATGTAGGCTGTGTGCACTGACTGTTTTCCTGAGCAAGCACTGCACAGTGCTGATAGCTGTACCTTGAGGGCCATTTCAAATGCTACAGCTTTACTAAGCTTTGCCCCAGCAGGAGATCTCCATGAACACTGCAACCCTGTGGCAAACTTTACCCAGGTGTTCCAGTCTTTCCTTTGAAATTGTGGTGGAAGCTGCCCATGATCCAATAACTCTTGCACACTGAACACCTGCAAACTCAGCACAGCATTGACACTAAGGTCAGCTGCATGAGCTGTGGCTGCCCGAACCACAGATGCAGCTGTGCAGTGCTTTGCTGGCTGAAGGCAGGGAAATAAATGCCAAGCGAGCCCTGGGCAGCAAGCCCATGGAGGGCACTCTGAAGCTCTTTCATAAAACAATTCTGTCCTGGACTCCCTTGAGCACTTTTTCCAATTTTCCCAATGCAAAACAACTGGCTTCCTTTTATTCTTTAGCAAGAGGCTTCTTGGCCACGCTCTTACATGCTTTTTCACTGCCCATTCCCTCGCTAGGATGGAAAATTTCACATCTTTCTACTCTGCTTCCTCTTGACCCCAAGTCTCACTATAAATCTAAAAGTGGTTAATGGCAATGTTTGAATATTTCACTGTTTAAAGTTTGCCCTTCAAATAAAATGTCCTATTTTATCCCCTTGAAATTTGCCTTTATAGAGCTCCAGAGAATGGATACCATGCAGCTAAGTTGTTTGCCATGATGTAACAAGGAAGTCTTTTCAAATTCACCCTCCAAATCCTCATTTCAGCCAGGCATGGAGAAGGCACATGTCTGTAATCCCAACTACTCTGGAGGAAGATTGTCAATGGCAGCTTAGTGAGAACTTGTCTCAAAATAAAATGGCACAAGACTATAATCCGAGCACCTGGGAGGCTGAGGCTGGAGGGTCGCTGTATGTCTGAGGCCATCCTGGGCTACAAAGTGAGTTGAACTGCAATGTAAGTCTGAACTATATAGTGAAACCTGATCTCAAAAAAAAAAAAAAACAAAACAAACAAACAAAAAAAAAAAAAACAAAAAGAAAAAGCAAGCAAAAAAGCTAGAGGTGGAGCTCAGTGGTAGAGTACCTACCCAGCAATCCTCAGTACTGGAACCCCCTGCCCAAATTCCTCATCTCCATCTAATATTAGTTTCCTAGTTTCTTCTAAAACTTCTTCAGAATTGCCCATATTTCTTCATTTATAGCATAGTAGGAATTTTCTACCCTGCTCCTCAAAACTAACCATTGCCTGTTGGCAAATTCAAAAGCTACTTCCACAAACTCAGGTACTAATTAGGCAATATCTCTACTCCTGATACCAATTTTCTGTGCTACTGTAATGAACTACCTGAAGCAGCCTAACTTTATAGAAAGTCACTCATGGTTCTAGAGGTTTGAGGGTGAAGTGTCAACCCTGACTTGGCTCTGCTGAGGACCTCATGGCAGATGGTGGCCCTATGGGAGGACTTTTTTAGTCTGTTTTCTGATACTATAACAGTATCACAGACTGGGTAACTTATAAACAATACAAGTTCAGGGGCCTCATCTGGTAGGGGCCTTCTTCCTACATGATAACATGGTAGAAGGTATAACACCGGCAGCTGGGAAACAAACGAGGAACACAGTCAACTCCCTTCACCAAACCCCCTCTGAAAGTTCCTACCTCTCACCACTATTACACTAAGATTAAGTTTACACTAAGATTAAGTTTTCAATACATGAATTTGGGAAGACAAATTCATGACAGAGTACATTTGCTGAAATAAACTGGCATGAAAATGTAGATTAGAGAGTAGAATGTCTAAAAACAAGAATTTGAAATTATCAGTCATTAGTAATAACAAAGTTTGGTACCTGTGGCAGGGACAGTCTTACAAATCCGTGAGGTTTTGTAAGACTTAATCCGTGAGGTTTGAGCCAATTCTGGAAATTTAATGTCAGATCTGAATTGAACAGTTAAGACATTCAGTTGGTATTACAAAGTAAGAAAATTGGTGTGAGACACAATTCAGTAAGATGAGAAATCATGATGATAGACTATCTTTAAGTCACAGATTTCTGGAGATGATACAGCTTCCCCATTCCTTAAACTACCTACCTAACCCTCACTTTCTGCTCTAGCAGACCTCTGCTCCTACTTAAAGAAAAACAACAACAAGAAAAACCTGGGGTCATTAGATAGACTCTATCTTATACCCTTGCTCTCCCAATAAACTGTCTTTATATTTTAGTCTCTCTTCTTCCTGTTCTAAACCTTATATCCTTGGTTGTGATGCCATCTCTTATTTTCTAAGATTTTGCTTCATTAACGACCACTCCTTTATCTGATAACCTTCTTCACACCCATTTTAACCAGCATCTAATTATAAATACACTCAACTGTCTCTTTAGAACAAAATAAAACCCAGTTAAAACTTCTCTGACTTTTTACCAGTTTCTGCCCTTACTGTTTTCTTCTTGATTCTTTTCTTTTTGTACCAAGGTCTGAATTCACAACCTCGTGCTTTCCTGGTAGGTGCTTACGCCGCTGAACTAAATCCCTGGCTTCTTCTTGATTTTTTTTTTTTTTTTCTTTTTCGTTTTTATCGGTACCGGGGATCGAACTCACGACTGCCTGCTTGCAAGGCAGGTGCTTATGCCGCTGAGCTAAATCCCCAGCCCCCTCTTCTTGATTCTTGAACAAAAATCTTCAGTCTAATTACTTTCAGTTCACTTCTCGATTGACTGTATCTCCAACATTCATGCAACTGTTGGCCGCAGATCTCTATACTGTACTGCTAAGTCTACCCTGCCTTTTTTTTAAATTTTTCATTGCATTTTACATTATAGATCATATTCTTTTCTTCTTGACAAATTAAAATTCTTAGTTTTGATGACACTTTGCTCTTAGTTGCACCTTAATCCTTTTTCCTCTGTATTTATTTTTAAACATTTTTTTTGAGACAGAATTTTATTATTTTTTTTCTTTTTATATACTCTTACTGGAGAGAAAGGAGGCACACTGAAGCCAGTCAAGAATACCATCACAGACATCCTGTTTTTAATTTATTCATTTAAATTCTATTATATGTTAATTCCAAATTTCAGCCCTGGTCACTTCTTTGAGCTAGGTACCTACATCCAGTTAGCAATAGGCTATCCTTGACTTTGACTTCTTTTTTTAAACTGGAGATTGAACCCAGTGCCTTTGCACTGAGCTACATCCCCAGCCCTTTCATTTCTATTTTCAGATAGGGTCTCATTTTTATTTTCAGATAGCCTGTTGCCCAGGCTAGCTTCAAATTGACAATCTTCCTGTCTCAGCTTCCCAAATAGCTGCAACTACAGGCATGTACCACCATACTCAGCTTCCTGGATACTTAATAAATAAATAAATACTTTAGTATGTCTAAAAACTACATGTGCTATTTTTGTCTCAAAAGTGGTTCCTCCTCCTCTTCCCTGTCCTCCTCCATTATCTTGATATCTTCAATCAGTCATTTAATCTAGAAATCTCACTCATATTTAACTCATATTTGATTTCTCCCTCCTCTTCACAATCCCTCCCCTGTATCTAACCAAACACCAAATCCTGTCAATCTACTCTTAAAGTATGTCTTCACGTCCTAGTCTTTTTCACTACTTATGCTGTACCCCAGGATCTAAAAAAAATCTCATTTATGCTTCTAAAGTAGACGCTTACATAATCTCTCTGATGCTAATTCTGTTTCCTCAATCTTTATATATACTCTCCTTAAAATACTTTGCAATATTCCTAAAAGTTTTCTTTTCATCAGTATACAATAACTTCTCTGACTTGTCCCATATTAACCACTGCCTGACTTTGTTAGAACTGTGTTTGTCCGTACCACACAACTTTCAGTTTCCTGTATAATCTGTTTGCACATTTTCCTGTGACCCTCACTTGACTCTTAGCTTTCAACATTTACCCAGGAGATTAACTTCTATACAAACATTTCCTTAAATTCCCCAGACAGATAAATGTTTCTCCTAAATAATGAAGAGTTTGTGCATTAATACCTTATATTATAATTATCTATATAATATTTTTGTCCTTTACAAAGCATGACATTTCTGAAGCTCCATTATATAGCAGCATTTGATGCACAGGTACTTTAAAAAATTTTTTTTGTCTTTTTGAGACAGTCTTGTTATGCAGTTCAGGCTGCCTTTTTAGCTTCCACTGTAGCCCAGGCTCGTCTTGAACTCACAAAGATCCTCCTGCCTCAGTCTCCTGAGTGCTGGGATTACTGGCTTGTGCCACCACACCCAGCTAAAATTTTTTTGTAGAGTTAAATAATGGTTCAGGTTTGTTTCAATTTGTCCATAGTCACAAACAATCTTGCGATAAACAGCTTTGTGCAAATGGTATTTTAATTTTTTAATTTTACTATATTCAAAGACAAAAGATTAGTAACTAGGTATAAAACTATGAATACCTTTTATGTCTCTTCAAAAGCTTATGTTCATTATTTTCAATATCTGAGAAACCAAGAGGCAACCACAGACTTTTTGCATATATATGCATATTTTGAAATTTATTATATTAGTCATTCATCCCAATAATCCATGCCTTTAAGAATTAAACAATTAATATATGTAAGCTATCAGAATTAATGCTCTACCTGAGCTCAATCTCAACAATACTTTTAGATTACAATTAAAATGTACAATGAAAATTTTTTTAAAGATTCAGAATGTATAAGTCACTACTGAGGAAACATTAGTAATTCCCTGCCATCAGATAAAGAAAACAATTTAACAAATTTTTGGGTATGATAAGAAAGAAATCCACAGTAGTAAAGGACCATATCAAACATCAAAATCATGAAGCAATCATAGCCAAGGAAAAGCAAAGAAAGCATCAAGCTATATTTTCAATACCAAAAAGTTACTTAATGCTGTAAATTGGGAATCTACAGCCATAATCCAAATCCAACCCATGTGTTATTTTTGCAGTTATACTGCAGCATTCTGATGCTCACTCACTTATGTATTGTCCGTATCTGTTCTCACACTACAATGGAAGAATTGAGTAGATCTGAAAGACCACATAGCTTGCACAGTCCAAAGTAGCTAATACTTTACCCTTGAAAGAAAAAGTCTAGATAGAACTTGCTCTAAATTGTTAGGGAACAAAGCGACGTTTACTATTGTCTTTAAGAAAATCGTGAAGAAAATAAACTGCATATAAAACTTATGATTTTATAGTAACATCCTATGTTTTTCTCATTTCTATGCCAATTCTTCTACTTCTTTTTTTTTTTTTTTTTTTTTTTTGTCTTTTTCCTTTTTATCGGTACCAGGGATCAAACTCATGACTGCCTGCTTGCAAGGCAGGCGCTTATGCCGCTGAGCTAAATCCCCAGCCCCCTACTTCTTTTCACTTAAAACCATTCCTGTCCCCAACCTGCTTATATCACACATACGCAGCGAACTGTTTCAGCAGCTTCTGATATATCTGGCAATAATAAACCTCCCCTCTAACCTGGTCTGACCCAAATAAAGATGTTAATGCTTTCAGAGGAAAAACAACTAGTGAGTTAACTAGGATGGATAAAAGGTACATATTTGAGGATGGGAGAGGGTTAATAATTGAGAGTATTGTGATGAATGGGTGACAATGTGATTAAAACAACTACATAAATATTTTAGGAAGAAGAGAAAAAAAGCAACAAAAGTTAAAAAATTAAATCTTCAAAGTACAAAAACCCAGCACACTTAAAAAGCACAAAATCCACTAGCATCATTCCTTTAAGAAAGCCTTCCATTTACCTATCCAAACAGGCGAAGAGTCCAGATTTTCCTCCTACTGCACAGAGTACTTTGGGAGCACAGCGAGGTCGTGTAATCAAGATTGTCTGATGAGAAAGTCTATGTTCAGGCATAAAGTGGTACTTTAGGGCCTCATTCAACAGATGTTTACAAGTGCGATCATCACGAATAAGATGATTTGCTTCATACAGCCTAGTAAGAAACTTAACACTCAGCAATGGTAACCGTACACTGTTTAGTAGCTGGGCTAAGTATTTCTGGCGTTCTTGTACATCATACTTGATCCAAGACTCCAATGCATAAAAAACAGTCTCTTCGGTAGCTACATTCAAACAATCATTGGAAACAATTTCATCCAGATCTGCGTGTGGAAGCTCAAAAAACTCTTCTGTCTGGCAAACAGCTTCAAAATTTTGGCATATATATTTAGTGGCTGCCAAATAAAGGTCATGACAACCATACGTCTCTGCAAAACGCGAAATTCCAATACAATTACCAGGATCAAGTTGGCTTTCAAGAAATGCACAGCATTCTTTCAGGACAAGCTTTACTTGGAGTAGGTTTGCTGCTGGAAGAAGAGATTCAACTGTGTCCTGAGAAATAAAAACAGTTCCTGTATAGGCATATTCCACAATGGCCTGGAGGGCAGTTTCATCAATGCACTGAAACTCCACCTCACTGTTCTCTTTTTCTGAGAGATTTCCGGTGAACATTGCTTTGAAATACGGGCTGATGCTGGCAAGTACCACTTTGTGAGCATGAATTTTAACATCACCTACACGAAGCACGATGTCACAGAGTTCGTGATGCTGACGAAGGAGATTCAAGCCCTGCAGAAGTTGTTCAGAATGTAAGTGGGTTAAGTTAGCAAGCATGTAGGTTGGGGATGTGTGGTCCATCTACAGAAAAACAAAAAGTATAGACAGTTATTTCAAAATAAATCATGGCAATAAAACTGCTTCAAATAATAGCACATATCTCAGATTTCTTATTTACTTGCCTGATTGTTGGTTTTTAAACACTAACTACTGTAGAAGACAATTAACAAAAAGTTACAATTTAACAACCGTGTAGTTAAACCTCTTTGACACAGCTATAAGGAGATGCAGACCCAAAATGTTACATAATACTCCCCAACTCAACAAGTCTCTGGACAATGAATTTCTGGAAAAACTGCCAACTCTATTTCCAAGTCTGATAAGTGGAGTAGGGGCAAAGAAGGAGACAGAGGACAGAAGATGAGGAAGGGGACATAAAAAGAAATAAGATGTGTTAATGTATATGTATCAACTCTCCATGATGATGTAATCATTATATACCATCAATATGTACTAATAAAAGTAAATAAATTTAAGTCTGACCTATCAGTGAAAATGGAAATATGGAGGGGGGCTGGGGTCTGTACCTAGACCCCCAAACCCCAAACAGGTGCATGGCGAAGGCTCAAAGGAATGAGACACACCGCATGGTCTTTAGGGCTGCAGGAGTGAAATCCTTGGTAGAGCTCGTAACTCTTGCCAGCTGGCTGACCTACTGACCCTGGGCATCCTGTTATTTAATCAGAACAGGCAAGGAGTTGAGTGGACAACGGAGGAAACCTGAACAGGATCTTGGGAGGACGCCTCAGAGCAACAGATGATGCGAATTAAGGAAAATTATCCAGAAAGTCTCCAGGTGGCCTCAGCTGTGGCCTATCTTGCCCCCTGAGGTATCTCCTTGTTCTCAGTTCAATCATGCCTGGGCCATTCCACAGCCCTGCAGGTGTATTCAGCTTCAATGCTCTCTCACATGTCACTCTTTTTTGTTTTGTTGATACACAGGATGGGTGGCCAGCTGAAGCTGGAGAAGCTGTGTTAGGAGAACTCTGACAATTTAACTTCTGCACAGTCCATCAGTTTATAACAGTAGTCAGCTACCAGCCTAGCCAGCAATTGTCAGAGAGTGTCAGTGATCCGAGCTTCCCCTACAGCCAACATTTTTCCTGCATTCTACCTCCAGAGGCCATACTTTTCTGCAGGAGGTTCAAGACCAAGCTAAGGTGAGACCTGCACTAAATACAATCAGTTTCTCACTTCCTATCAAGGTCAGTTAGGTCTCCTCAGGAGTTATCCTAGAACCATGCATAGCACCTTTTGGCTCTTCTGTCAGCATCAGCCATCTGGATGAGTCACGGCCATTGCTTGACCAAGTTGCTTTGTGTGAAAGCCTGGGAGAGTTTTCTCCTGTTGATTCTCCTTAGGCACACCTTACATTGAAGATCACTTTCCTCTGCCATCTCATAATCTTCTTGATCAGAAGACCACAGACTCACTGAGTATCTTAGGCTGACCCAAGCAGAGGTTCTTTAATGTCCTGGGTCCCCACTGACTTTGCAGGGCTGGGGCCAAAATATTGGCTATCCTTTTAGCCCATCTGTATCTCTAATTTTTGGTCTCTAAACTTCAGCTGTTGAACATCCAGAATAAAAGATTGATAACAATACAGAACATTAGAGGCAGTAAACGTAACATTACTATCTTATCTAAACATGAAGCACCTTAGAATATTAAATGAAACCTACTTTCTACTATCCACAGATATTTTAACATTTGAATACCTACAGAGTATTAACAGTTACATTGTAAATCAGGAATCAAAACCACACATATATTATGACAAACATGACACTCATGGCATTCTTACAATAATCCAAATTTCCGCTTTGACATAAAATATCTTTTAGTCAATCACCCTTATGTAATACACAAGAAGTTTCTATCCAACTTATTGACCTTTAGTGGAATATAAATCTCACAAGTCTTTGGTATCAGCAGAGGTCTGAACATGAAACAGAAATCTAGCTGGGGATTTAGTTCAGCAGCATAAGCGCTTGCCTGGCAAATGCAAGGTCCTGAATTCAATCCCCAGTCACAAAAAAAAAAAAAAAAAGCAAGCAAGAAAGAAACAGAAGTCTATTACTATAAGTAGTCCTGTGTTACAACCTGGGAGACCTATGCATCCAGAACCATGAATATATCCAATACATCATATCATAGCCATAGGAAATCTTTGCACAGGCATTTTCAAACCAAAAACTCATTGCATTATTTCTTTTAGGTAATGACCAATGTGAATATATAACAATATAGTTTACAACTTTTAGTTGGAGTGTCTCTCACAAAGCCATAGAGATTATTGGGGTCTCCGATCAATAAACAAGAACTGGTAAAAAATGTTGTCAATCAAAGCCCTGTCCAGCAATCCCAAGCTTAAAAGACCTTGTTATTTTATCCTAATAGTATTATTTTTCTTTTCTTAATAATGAGAATTTCAAGTCCAAGATAAATAACATATTAGATTCATATATCCAATCTTTGTGTTATTTGGATCAGCCAGCAACCAAAGTGAAAGTACGCTTTGTAAATTCATAACTTAAATGAATTTTTGATCAAACAAACCACAAATGGAAAAACAGAAAAATTACTGAGTTCCAAATAAAAGGAACAGTTGTTCACAGAGAGGACAAATAGACAAACAGACAGATGATCTGTACAGATTCAAACAAACATAGAAACAAGCACACAGCTTGTGAGGTTCTATAAGAACTCTTAAGTTCCCACAGGTTGTTTATGTACTCATACCACACCCCTTGGCTAAACTAGCTCACTTCCTATACCCCGTGTTCTCAGGGCATTTCCCAGGTGTTCCATGCCACATGGGCACTCTCGTGTGGGCACTTGTGCTTTTTGCTTCCCACGTGTGAAAGATCACTAGCTCAGCAACTTCTAACAACTGCTCACAGACTGGACAGACAACCAATACACAGACTGACAAACATCTTACATCAGAATGCACTCAAACACATCCTTGACCAAACCGAATTACAATAACTTCTTGCAAATTTAAATTTTATAATTATAAATCAACCAGTCAGATTTGTTATAGGCCAATTAGCAGAGATCTCATATAAAAGTATCCAAGGCAGCCAGGGTTGATTCAGGGAGAGGTGAAACTGTGGAATTGGGTTGTGCAGCCTACAGTGCCAGCTCATTCCATGCAGGGCAAACACGAGCAGGAATCCACATAGGGCCTGTTGGGGAAGCACGGAGGCACCCCCTCTTCCCCACATCAGCAGGAGTGCTGGTCCCTGCTCACCTGGGTCTGGGGGCATTTTGTACAATATAAAAGGCTTTGGCAGAGGTTCATCCCAGCAAAAATGTATTTGAACCAGTGAGGAAGAAAGTCTTGCTGGGAAAGACAAGTGTTTAAAGTAAACAGCACCATGGATAGAACAGAAGAAACCTGTGCAGGGGTGCACCCTTCTCCTGCAACTGTTCAAAGACAGGAGATCTGAGTTCATGATGAGCTCATTCAACAACAGGATCGCAGTTACACGACCAATTTGCCGTGTGGAACAAAAGGAAGCAAAAGCCTCTGAGGTGCAAGCTAGACTACTGTCAGTTTTAAGGGAGAAAGGTACACCTATGACCACAAACGCAGCCAGGAGGCATTGAATTACATGTGGGGTAGAGTTGCCACACAGTGGCAAAGCCCAAATGAAACCAGAAAAGGTATCAACAGAAATGTGAAAAAATGAAAGAGATTTTAAGGAGAACAATGTGTGACATCTGTTTGCCAAAGGTCACTGGAGCAGAGCCCACGAGGGTTAACAGCATCAAAAGGAAAAGAATGAGGTGTGGCAGCGCAATATGAATGGCAGAAATAGCTTTAGTTTCAGAAAGGAGAATATGACACAATTTATGCAAGAAACGAGTGGATTGGTGAAAAAAGGCACAGCGTTGTTTAGCATTATCAAAAGAGGGTAGAGAATACACAGTGCTTGATCAGCATAGCATTACCTTGTAAAAAGCCGGGCAGGGTTGATGACTACAGATGTGTAAAAGAAAAAGAAGGGCACAACAAGCACAAACAGCCTGTAAATGTAAAAAAAGAGAGACATTAAGTATGAATCTATTGCTGTAGGAGAGATAACAGCAAAAGATAAGTATAGGACAATATTACGTACATATAAACAGTCAGTAAGTTAATGGATTTGGATGAAAAAGCTTGCAAAGCAGGGATAACAGCACATAGCTCACTGTGCTGAGCAGAGGTTTGCAGTAGAGAATGCAGGTGTTTCCAAGTATTATCAGCAAAGCACGTTAAAACTCCACCACGGGGAGGGGAATCCATTAGTGAAGACAGGGAAGGCACTGTCTGACAAGTTTGAAGAGAAAAGGGAAGGTAGGGTAAACAGAGACAAAAGATCATGGGGCACATGGCAAGAAACGGAACCAACACAGTCTGCCAAGACAACCTGCAGAGAAAAACAGTAGAGGAAGCAAAAAAGGAAAAGTCAGCCCTGGCAAGTGGTGAGACAATGTCAATTAAATCAATTCCAGGGACTGTAAGTGCTCTAGCATGCCCTCTAGAGACAAGAGAGGAAACAGCACTGACAAAGGGAAATAAAAGTACTGTCAGCCAAGTGAGGTAAATATAACCATTCAACACTAAATACCTTGCTGCTCTGGATGGCTAACAAGAGCCCTTGTGGGCAAAGGGCTGAATGAAAAATGAGCAAGGAGAGAAAGCAATCTTTCAGCACTTGATCCACCATAACTGTAGTGAGCGTGTGAGCAATGCTCTAAAGGGCCTGCTGTAGAGGAGAGTCAGAGATCTCATCAGCTCGTGTCTAGCAAACCTGAAAAGAAAAGGTTGTCAATAGTTAAAGAGAGGCTTGGGCATTCATTTCCTAGGGGAATGGCTACAGCCACCACAGCAGAGCCAAATCGTTGATTTCCGAGAGCTTTACAGGAGATATAAGGCAAGACAATTAGCTGAGCTACAGATTCAGAAACATTTAGCTGAAGGGGTAAGAGACTACAATTGAAGCAATAATATTGCAGCATAATCAGCATGCAAAGTTGTCCTTTGTGTTCTTGTTGACACAAAACAGGACACACAATTAATTCCCCATGCTGTTTAGCTTCTTGAGCTAACTTCTGCATGAAAGTTAGAACCAGCAGAAAATTGCTCAGAGGTTTTATTGGGCTTGTATCTTGTGCCAGCAGCAGGGAGGGGACAGAAGCTTGTAGGGGAGGTATAGAAGCAGAAGCGGCATCCCCAGGAAAATCAGAACGCCAACCATGCAGTGTTCCATCTGTCCACCTATCACAGCATCCCAGCAAAGATATAGGTGTGTTAAGTCAGAGGATAGGAGCTCGAGGCTCCTCACGCTGCAGTTTGTCTATCTTGTCCCAATCTTCCACAGTGAGCATAGTAAGCCCTCAGGATACCAAGGGCACCGATCGCGAGTTTCCAAGAATTGTACCACACTATCCTCAGAAGTAACATGGCCTGCCTTTTTAAGAAGGAAAAGCAGTTTTGCTTTGCGATTCTATTGTGTTTCAGACAGAGAATTCCCCATGACTTACCTGATGAAGGGATTTTAAAAAAAAAAAGAAGGTGAAATAGACACGTATTGGGGCTGTGTTCCACCCCAGGAACACAGTGAAGGTAAGGCACCCTCCACAGCAGACGTCTCCACTGTAGAGTCCCTGTTCAAGCACCAGGCTGCTGGGGTCTGTACCCAGACCTCCAACCCCCCTAAATGGGTACACAGCAAAGGCTCAAGGGAATGAGACACACAGCATGGTCTTTAGGGCTGCAGAAGGAGTGAAATCCTTGGCAGAGCTCATAACTCTGCTAGCCGGCCAACTGACTGATGCTAGGCAGCCATGTTTAATCAGGACAAGCAAGGAGTCGAGTGGACAATGGAACTGAACAGGATCTTTGGAGGGGTTCAACGACCCCTCAGGGCAACAGACAATGCTAATTAAGGAAAACTATCCAGAAAGTCTCTAATGGCCTCAGCTGTGGCCAATCTTGCTCCCTGAGGCATCTCCTTGTTCTCCGTTCCGTCATGCCCGGGCCACGCCACAGCCCTGCAAGTGTATTCAGCTTCAATGCTCTCTAACAGGGATGTTATCTAAATTAAGCAAAATTCATTTTTTTATCTATACAATCTTTTTCTAAAATTTTATTTAAAGAGAAAAAAAGCAAAACAAAAAAAGGGTAGGATACAGAATTTCAAAAAAATAAACAGTAAGAAATCACTAGCTGACATAATACATGTTGTCATCTTAGAAACAGTTCAAGTTACAAAATTAAAGCATACAAAGTGGACATTCAAACCGAGAGACTGCAAGTAGTTCTGTTCAATGATCCAACAAAAACTTAAAAATATGGTTATCAGTCCTATATACTTAAACATACATGCAGTTATATCCTTTAGAGCACTTTTCCTCTCTTTGTTACAATAACAATTATACATTTTACTCCTATAATTCATATTACATTTTTTTTGAAGAGAATAAAAACCAAATGTGACAAAACAAAATAGAGTTGGTCAAAACAAAAGGATGGACATAGTACATGACATAAAAACAAAATACAAGGTGATCAACAATGGTTACCATAATACCTCTTGCTATCTTCAAAAGAATTGCCCATATCATCAGGTATAATAAAATTGAACAAAACAGTACAGACAAAACCAATAAAAATGAAACACTGGAGACATTACAGGACTTCAAAAGAAGACAATAGTCAAACCAGAATGGGTATCATAGTGAATCTTATTGTCTCAAAGTAGTTAACTATACCCTCAGACTTTATACTATCAAACAAAACAGAATAGAATAAAATCAGTCAAAACAAGACAGTGAAAGCAATACATGGCTTCAAATCAAGTTACTAGGATATCAAAAATAGTTACTATAATATATCCTTGCTGTCTTTGGAATAGCTGTTCATGCCATCAAATCTAATGCAAGACGACAAAATGGAACAGAATAAAACCAAACAGAACAATTAAAACAATATGGGTTTCAAATCATGATAAAAGATTAGCAATGGCCACTGCCTTCCCTTTTTAGACAATTCCTCCCCTTTCACTTTCACAGGGTGCATTGTACATTTTGCCTCCCACTAACTTCTTTAGTTTTTAGATTAGGGAGGCAGGCTGCTATTCACCTAAGTGATGCTGAACCTTTTTACCCCTGAGCATGAACTCAAGTTGTATCCATTACAAGAGCCTCAAGGTTTTCTTTCTTTAGGGCTGAGCAGTATTCCATTGTATAAAAGTATTATGGCTTTCCTGCCAATTTGCAGCTGATGGTGAAGCCACCTCCACTTTTATCTGGTTCCCTGTCACACAGAGCATTGTTTTCTAATCTTTGGCTTTCAGCCTATAAACCCTACTTTGGGTTAATTGTATTTCTTATATAGAGCATATTGATAGACACCATCTCCTGATCCAGTCTGCCTATGTTTCTTTTTATTGGGGAATTGAGGCCATCCATATTAGTGATTATGGCCAACCTTCTCTGCATCATCTATGCCATGTTATTTTTCTACCATTGGTTGTCTACTTTTCTCCTTTATTCCACTGTCTGCCCCGTTCAATGAGCCCCCTCTGCCACTGTTCCTGAAACCATGGTCTTTTTTTCTCTCTCTCTCCAGAATGTCCTTCAATATTTTTTGTAGGCTTGGTGGTCACGAACTCCCCCAGTTCCTCTTTGTCATGGAAGTTCTTGTTTCTCCATTAATTTCTACAGACAGTTTTGCAAGGTACATCAATCTGGTTTGGGAGTTATTTTGTTTCAGGACTTGGAATGCTTCACTTCAAGCTCTTCTTGATTTGATGGTTTGGTCAAGAAGTCTGCTGTGATTCTAATGGGTTTTCCTTTATAGGTGATCTGTTTCTTTTCTTTGACAGCTTTTAATGTTCTGTTCTTGTGTTGAATTTCTGGGATCTTGATTATTATATGTCTGGGTGTAGATCTATTTTGGTTATAGCTGGCTGGAGTTCTGTATGCCTCATATAGCTGAATATCATTTGCTCTTCCTTTGCTTGGAAAGTTCTCTTTAATTATTTCTTGTAAATAGCCTTTGTATTTCATTTGTGTTTACCCCTGCTTCTTCACTCACGTTTTTTATTCTTACAGATCCCCTTGTCATCTTCTAACCTTTGTATTGTTAATTCCTAGTTCCTTGTTATTTTTGAGATCTTTCCTTTCATGATCACAAGCTGCAAACCTGTCTTCAAGGTTTGATAGTCTATCTTTAGTTTCTTTCAAGCTGTTTTGTCAGCTTTCAATGGAGTTTTTAATTTCCTGGTAATCTCTTTGAATCTGTTTCATGTGTTCTAAATTATTTTTATATTCTTCATTGAAGGTTTCCCTCAATTTTCTATGCTCCTCTATTCTTTCATCTGTGTCTTCTTTAGAGGTGCTTAGCAATTCTTTTATTATGTATTTCATATCTTCTTTTACCTGTAATAGTATTTCTCTTCTAAGTTCTTTTATATCTTCATGGAGTTGTTTCTTTATCCTGGAATGCTTGTGTTAGAGGCCAGAGACTTCCTTTTGCTTTTTCCTCTTGTCATGTTCCTGGTTTCTTCTGGACAAGTGGGTAGCAGGGTCCCCAGTACTTCCTATATTGGTTATAATTATTCTGAAGTGTGTTGGCTAGGTATTTCTGCTGTTTGCTTCTTTCCCCAGTCTGCTAGTGGCTATTGGAGTGTAAGCAGGGGTGGAGCAGGCTGGCTCCTCCCTTCTGAGCTGGTTAACCACAGGGAGTCTTCACCAAGTTAGTGTGCCTCGTGGGTGGGGTTGGTTAGGGATAGCTTTAGGGAAATCTTGGCAGTGGCTACTGGACCACCCAGAGGCAGGACTCAGTCCAAGCAATTTCCACCAGTCTACTCTGAGCTAGGAGTGGGTGAATGAAGCTGGCTCTAGTTGTCTCTAGGTTTATCCTGCCCAACTCTAAAATGGCACCCAACCAACTGCTCACTCCCGCAGGAGGACTGAGTCCCCCACACTCACCACCAACCAGTGCAGTTCTCAGGTCTGCTGCTCTCCTCTGCCACTGCGTCTCCCTGCCAAGGCCTTTTGGGCATACTAGCCACCAACTTTACTGTGCTCATGCATCTCCAGGTTCCAACAACGCTTCTGGCATAGTGGTTCTAGCTCCTGTGAAAGTGCCGCCAGTTACCGCCTTCTCCTGTTTAAATTTTTCTTTTTCTTTTTTTTTTTTTTTTTGTCTCAGTGGGCTTCAATTCTCACTTTAGTTTCTTCCTAGTTTGAGGGGAACCCTTTCTTTCCTTCTTGTCTTCTCCAGAATGCTATATTCCAGCATCTGGATTGTTTCTCTCAGAGAGGCTGTTTACTCTGCTGCTTACTGTTCCACCATCTTCCCAGACCGGAATAGCTATATAGCAAAATTCATTTTTAAACAACACTAACTACTTCTTTATCAATGATAAGATTAGTGCCTTTAGCTGGGAAGAAATTTCACGTTAATTCAAATCCTCTACCTTAACTTTCAACAATTTAACAAACTCATCAGTACTGACAGTTAATTCTACAACAATAACTAATTATTGAGAGCAGAATCCAATATCCTACAGTGAAGATAATAAGACTAAGTTACTGATCTATACCATAGCAACTCAACTCTTTACTGTAAATTCAGATTATATCCTATTTATACATCCAGAGAATGAAAAAGAATAAAATAAGAAAAAAAAAGAAAAACTGGAAAGATACTAAGTACTGTGGTAGGCAGAGAATGGCTCTCCAACAGACATGCACATTGTAATCTCCTAAATATAAGAACATGACTTTATGTTGAAAAAAG